TTCTCTGATCCTCACCAGGCTTACGTCTGAGCTAAGTATCACTGAAYTTCTCCTCTTTGCAAAGTGATCTATAAATCTTACTGGTCTCTGTTGTCAATTGATTAATGTTTCGGCCGGGCTTGTTGTGGTTYCTCTGAGTTCCCAGGTTAAAAAACCGAACAGTTGTCTTTAATTGTTAATACAGCTTGATGAATATTGAACTTTTTAATTTGCCAGTGAACTCACGTCCCTCAAAAACAATTACAGTAAAAAGGTTTCTTCCTTCACTTTGTGTTCAGTTTCGTTTCTCTGATATACCTGGGATATTTTCAACCCAGTGTGAATTTTGGGTCTCAGTTTTGGCAGCAATGGTATTCCATAATTCATTATTTCTCACTGCATAGATAATGATTTAAAAAATAATCAGTCTTTGTTTATGAAAGCATTCTTTAAATCAAACATAGATACAATTTGAACTGAAACGTCTCGTAGCTTCAAGTTCAGCAGGCTCCGGTCTTACCTGGCCCACAAGCTGTGTGGGGGGAACAGGGCCTGGGCCAGCAGGCTCTGGTACAAGTATAGGCAGATCATGTGACCGCCAGTGAAAAAGCCCACCATAACACACATGGCATTGAAACCCAGATGGCTGATTGGTAAATGGCAAGCCCACCACGTGCACACGCCGATGAAAAGGAGGAAGTAGATGGCTGAGAAGGCTGAGGGCAACGTGATTCCTGGAACAAAAAGGAACAAGAAAGCAGAATTTGAAATATTCCCAGAAAGACGGGGATTTAAACAACTGGAATCTGATGTACTTGTTGTCAGAAAATGATTTATGACCTGCAATGTTTTCATAAGATCACAGGCGTGTTGGCGTTCACTTTGGATGTTAATTTGACACTTATCGTTTCTGCAGACCAGTCACAGACCCCCCACATGGCCGCAGGGACCACACTTCCCTACAATCACAGCCCCTCCCTCCCTCCCCTCCACAGCAGGACAGCAGTGGGCCCGCTACTCTGAGCTTTTCACCCACTCTCAAAACTCCCCAAACTTTAACTCTGCTGTATCTGAATAAATCCCTTCAGCCTTAAAATTCAAAATACCAAAACAAGCATTGCCAACGTCCCGGTACTGGACACTCCAGGACATATCTGCCATATATAAATCCTACATCCACGTCTCCCCTTTCATCCTCCCCTATCACTATTCCAGACTGGACCCGCGCCCGAGGATCCTTTTAAGCTCAAACAAATTTAGCGCACCTGCTGCTGAAACGTGCAGCTGAGCCGTCAGTGGAGCTCAGCTTTAATTTAGGCACCGTGCCACAGTGGCTGTGGTTCACAGTTCACTGGTGAGGTGAAATGAAACTGCAGTGTTACTGTTCTTTGACACGATTAATAATACACATTAAAAGCCTAGCAGTCCTTGAAGGAACGCTCATCTCCCACCACCTTCCTATGTCAGATAACTATTTTAATCAATCCTTGAAAATGATGATGTGCGCAATCTCGTGATATTGTGAGGTTTCACATGATCCAAGCACATGTCAGGAAAGATTTTCATCTACTTCCACTTTGGGTTGACTTTAAAAAAAACTTATTTGTAGATGTACATTAAATGATTTCTGAGAGGCTCATAAAATTCATCCAGTGGTTCATGAGATGTTTTGCCAAAAAATTATATATATATATATATATATATATATATATATATATATATACTGTATATACAGTATATATATATATATATATATATATATATATATATACTGTATATACAGTATATATATAAAGATATATATATATATATATATATATACTGTATATACAGTATATATATATATATATATATATATATATATATACTGTATATACAGTATATATATAAAGAGTTAATTCCATATTCCAATAGTTGATGGCAAAGTTTTGAACAAAAATATTGTGTGGTTAGTTAATGATAAGGTTAGTTGTCTGAAAGCTAATCATCAGGTGTAGATGTGCGTCAAGTGATTACTTTCTGGGAGTTTTATAAAAAATGATCCAGTGAACGATGAAATATTTCACTAACATATAATATTTTACTGACTCTCCGCTACAACTACACCAATTTTCAGCTCAGTATCTGTAAATTTACTTAAATAAAACATGTTTGTGTTTGCTAACAAGCTGTGATGCCGTCTTGATTCAAGTTAATTCTTTTAAAAATAACAGACAAATGTGCACACCCACCTTACGCCTTTCAGCCTATAAAAGCTCAGACGTTGTCTTTGCATTTGAATGCAAGTTTTGTCAGATTATGTTTAAATAAAATGAGGATTTAATTTAAATAGAGCATTAATCTATGTTCTTTGAAACCAGCCGTGATTAAACTAATCATTTGGATGAGCAATCTTTCAGTCAGAATATCAGACTTTTTCTTTCTGACCGCTCAAACAGGAAGTTGTACAAATGAGAGCAGCTTTATTGTGAATTCTTATGCTTCATTTAGGTTGTAGCTACTCTCTTGGTAATTCTAGCTTTTGCTACTATTTTGCTAATTTTTGCCTTTTGCTATGGTTTTATCAATTTTAGCTTTTAGCAACAAATTTGCTAATTTTGGCCCACAGCTTTCACACTGCAAACTGCAAATTTCTTTAGTTACCGACAACTGATTTAGTTTCTTCAAACAAGATGTTATCTGGTGAATAAATGATGAATCTAAGGTAGTGTCTTTGTGAACTGTGAACTGAGTTCAGAATTTTCCAAACATTTCCCTTCATTTGTGAGCTGAAGTTTGACTTAGTTCTTACAAAAAGTGAACGTGAACAAAACAGGTGTTAGCTTGAGTGTGAAAACTTTGGTGGATTGTAGTGAAAACGTGAGGGGAGCTGAAAAGATAAAAGTTAATCAACCAGTTCTTACCGGCTAAACCCAGCAGGATGATAGCCAGGATCCTCCCCAGGTCACACAGAACCTTCCGGGCCGAGGCTTTCAGACGCTCAGCCAGCTGCTTGGCTCTGGATGCTGGAGAAACCGAATCAGGGTCACCGGGAAATGACTTCTCTTCCTCCTCCTCCTCCTCCTCTTCCTCGTCTTCCTCCTCCTCCTCATCATCATCACCTGATGACTCTTCATCGTCCTCGGCATCTGATGTTTTATCCGCATAATAATGTTCTAGCTAACGTGTGGAAAGAATTTAAGAAGTCACAATTACTATATTTTGTTTTCTACTGCATTTTATTGTACAGTGTCCTTGAGTGCCATTAAAAGTGTCTTCAAATAAAATGTATTATTATTATAGTATTAGTATAAAAACTGACTATTTTCTAACTCGGGGGTTTCTGAAGCTGGAGTCAGGAACCCACTTATTGTCTGAAACACCAAGTGAGGGGTCTAAAGAGATTTTCCAGATACCAAACTTTAAAAATGATTGCCAACAACATATTTTCCCAGAAATTATTATAAGTTAAAGACCTGAAAGATTGCACACTGCCTGGCCTTTCAGGCCAGATGTTTAAAATAATGTCATCTTATGATGAAAAATGGCAGAGTAGTCATTTGGTTCAACCTTGGAAATGATGTTATGTATGATTTTGTGCAATATTGTGTCAGAGAATGTGTTGAAATCTTCATTCGTGTGGTTGTTGTGAATTCAGTTGTTGTTTTGTTCCTTGTTTTTTTTCCTTGAGAATCCTTTTTAGTTTCTCAGTGTCTTCATGTGTCCTCAGCCTTTCTTGTCCTCTGTTAACCATTCACACCACCCTCCCATGTTCATTAGTCTCATCTGTCTCCACTTGAAATCACTGCTCAGAGCTTTTGAATACAGCCAGTTCTCAACAACACATCAGTCTTAAGTGTAACTGTTCTCCATGTGTCCCCTTGCGTCTTGGTTTCTTCAGTTTCTTGTTTTGCGGCCCTGCCAGCCTTTTGGTTTTCATTAATAAAAGTCTTTCTTTGTCAAGTCAGCAGGAAGTTTCACTGAAATCTGTTCAGTGGTTTATGAGATATCCTGCTAACAGACAGAGTTTTAAACAAAAAACATCCTGAAATGTGTAGCATTTGGTTCATGTATTGGGTGTGTTCTAGAACAATGATCAGCRCCAAATATCTGTGAAAATGTGCGAGACATTTTTCTGTTTGATAAGGTCATCTTGAATTAGGTTGACACTAAAAGGTGATCAGTTATAGATGCTTTTTTATTAATTGTTGGGAGTTTTAGTAAAACCCAAATCAGTGATTTATGAGATTGTGTGAAAACTCRTGACATCGCCACAACTTTATTATTAAGGTTTACATAAAACACTTCAACTCTGTCATCTTTTAAGATATGATAGATGATATGAAACTCAGCCAAAAAAGGCAGCAGGCGAAGAAATACTGTTTTTAATTAGATTAAACAAGTCACACTAGTCATAATGTAACACCAGATTATCTATTCTTTCTTTTTGCCTTTTTTACTCTGTTATTCACACATATTCAAAGACAAACACAAAAACCTGCACAGACGTGCAGAAACTTACYGATGTAATGTTGGCAGCAGCCACCATTTCTCTGTTCTTGATCAGTTTGCTGCAGAGGACAATCGTCACCAGGGACACCACACACACGCCTACATCTGGACATAAGAGACGAATGACATTCCATGGATCCTCTAAGGGAAGCCTAGAAGAAAAGAATTAGGTYCTATTAATTATATATTTTTTATGAGATGTGTGTAGGTTGACCTGCAAAGGATAAACCATCTGGTTTATTTTGTTGTATTAAAGTGTCTGTGACATACATATACTTCAAATACAAAAAGTCAAAGAAAACATCTTTATACTTAAGAAAATTGCCCTAATACACATGATTTTACCCATTTTGTCACATAACTGGCCTATTTTCTTTTGAATTTGTCTCAGCCAAAGTAAAACAGGAAGTGACATCAAAGGGTAACTCATTAATAAAATAAAATCATTGGTCTTTGTTTATTAAAACAATACTATTTAAACTTTAACTCTTCATCTCTCTTTGATAGAGACTGAAAATAATGTAAARAAACATCAGATTCTTCTCTGCAGTCTGTGTTGTTAGCCATTGTAGCAATGCTCTGTTCACATGCAGACATTTCCCTTTGACATCACTTCCTGTTGCTTCACATGCAAATACAGCAGGTAAAATAAGTATTGAATACGTCACCATTTTTCTCAGTAAATATATTACTAGAGGTGCTAATGACATGAAATTTTCACCAGATGTTGGTAACAACCCAAGTGATCCATACATAC